CAAATATTCAAATGTAGAATTTATCGTTGATATTATACAATTTTGTTGCTGACTTAAGTTTGACAATACAAATATGTCTGTAGGTTTACGATAACAAAACTTCTGTCTTAAAAATCTCATCAACAAAATGATTTATTAAATGGCTCATTAAAAATATATTAAATATTGTCATCTTTAAAGATGTACAATTTACTTATTGATTTTTTATTTATTGATTTTTTATTTTTTTTTTGAGTGGTTAGCAATATTCACCTTGAGTTATATTTCTAATCAACTACTGGGAAATTGGGGCAGGAAGATTTGGTTTTTTCAATTTGGAAATTACAAGACTGGAGGAGAATTCAAATGAAGGTGTGCATTAGTCATTTACTTGACATCCTTAATTTATAGTGCTTGTTTGGTTCAAAATTTTTAAAATTTATTATCAACCAAAGATTTTATAGGATCTACAATTTTTATCAAATTTTCAATTATATTTCATGATTTTTTTTTTATCAAAATCTGTTGAAAATTTGATTTTTAACGAAAACCAAACATGAATAATAGTTTCTTACGTATGTAGGCATTGAGTACTTTAATTCACTGATAGAGAAAAATTAATTTTAAACATATCTATTTTTGACAAAATGAGATTACAAGCATCGTGGGATAAGATTGTTCAAGAACGTTTCCCATTTCAAGACTATCTACATGCGTGATAGATTATTGACGAGGTTAGAGAAGGCAAATTGGCTCGCTTGGCTCGACTCGAAAAAAGTCTGAGTTGACTTGACTCGAGGCTCGGGATCAGGCACTTGTGGTTCATGGGTCGGCTTGAAAAAATAAGTAATTAAAGCAGCTTGCTGCCTTCATGGAAAAATAAAAATAAAAATATGCCCGGCTCAGGTCGATAAGGCCCGACCCAAAAGCTCGAGCCGAGCCTCGATTTTTTAGTTGGGCTTTTGCTCGGCTCGGACAAAAAAACCTCGAGCCTCGAGTTTCAATTCGTTGACACCTCTAGATGAGGTTAATTTCACTTTTAGCTAGTTTCATTTATTTACTAGTTAGATGTTAAGCTATGCGCCGAGTATCTTCACATATTATTTTATTTATAAAGAACATTTTGAACATAATAGAATACATCTTAAAATTTAAAATTTTTGACACAGTTCAAGAAACTATTTATTTTTAAGTTTTAACTCTTTATTTTGCTTTTCAAAAAATAAATAAATAATAAATTAACATTTATTGTTTTTCATAATTTTTAATTAATATTTATATTTTTAGAGGTGCATGAGTAATAAAATCAAATATGGTTTGAAAAATCTAAACAGTAGGACATTGAATTTCAAAGATCTAAAACAACTCTCTGCTTTAAAAATTGTCTCTCTAAAGGGGTTAAATTCTTAGGGTGTGTTTGATAGGAGTGGAATTTCATGGAAAATGGAATTGGAATTTCAACTTTCTATTTTTTGGGTGTTTGATTGAGAAAATTTTCATTGGAATTCATTTTCCACATTTTCATGTCACGTAGACTTTTTCCATATTTTGGCGATCTACTATAGCAATTTTCTTTTTGTTTATTTTTTTTGTTGACAATTGAAAAAAATTATAAGAATTATTATAAAAAAATGTTTTCCTTTAATTGACAATTTTCATGTAAAATAAAACCACACGAATACCAAAAAATAGATGATTTTCTTGAAATTTTTTTGGCAATGGAAACAAATTCCATCCTCAATACCAGTAAAATCTATCTCTTTATTTGACAATTTTCATGTAAAACAACGCCAAACGAACACAAAAGAACTTTTATTTCAATATTTTTCACGTGGAAAATTATACTAATCAAACATAATAATTTACAATTTACAGAAAAGTAATTTTTAGACAATTCAATTCCTTAAAATTTATTTTTTTCCACTTAAATTTCATCTTTACAATCAAACGGACTTTTAAATTTTATACTCTACTTTATTTTTGGGAACCGACCCGGAAATAATGGTCCCAAATGGGCTTTTTCATCGGGGCTTTGGTCCGGCTCTATATTGTTTTTGAAATTTTTTGGTTGGGTAGTCGGTTATCGGAGTAATTGCCAAAGAGAAAATATTGAAAAATAAATACGTTTTTATAACCCTAACTGACCTAACTGTTTACAAAAGTAGATCGATTTTAATCCTTCGAACTCTCTCCATCTTCGCGTTTTTAAGAAACCCTAGCTTGTGAAAGCTGGTCGCTGCGTGTGACGGTAATTTCTCTTCTCTTTGCGTATAAATGTAGATAATATCGTACTTTTTTCATTTTCGGATTTCTTTGTTTTTCGTCATTTTGTTTTTCATCCACACTGTTTCAAGTAATATTTTCTTGTATATGGGATTAATTTTTATATATTTTTTTGCACAAATTTTGGTTCAACTAATATTTAGTTTAAGACTTTGGGTGATAGTGAATATTAATAGATAATAGAATATATCGAAAATTTAAATTCACAAGCAGCAGCAATGGAGTGAATTAAGTTTGCAAACTTGAAAATCCAGGAGCAAAGAAAGTAATGTCCATAATTTCTATGTGGTTAGACATAGAATTTCTTTGTTTCAGATGAGTTTGCTGACATGAAAATCGTGTTTCTAGTAATATCTGCTTGTAGATAAGATACATTAAAATAAATAGTTTATTTTATTATTGCACAAAATCTGGTTCAACTGGTCTTTAGCTTGAGTGATAGTGAATATTAATAGATAAAAATTTTGCTTTCGTTATTGAAGCTTTATTACAAGCAGCGGCAATGGAGTGTATGAGTTTGCATATGGGAAAATAAATGAGTAAAGCAAGTAGAGTCGATTCTGATGTTGTTTGATAGAGGATACACATTGAATTAATTTGTTTCCTATTGTTGTTTATTGGATGGTCACTTGCAGAATCAAATTGTAGCATGAGTTTTTTGAGGTAGGGTGAATATGTAGGAGCTAGCCTATTCTAGTAATATACCTTTTGTGGATGAATCCATGAACATTTTTGTTTGGTAGACTATATACCACAATGAATTTGTTATAATAGCAGGGTGAATCCCGTTCTGCGTGGAATGACCTTCCCTTTACACGGCATTCCCTTTCTATTTTGTATTGTGCATTTACCACTGGTTTCTAATTTTATAAATGTGATTTTTTTGCTTTATCAACTTATTTTATATCATGGTTTGGGTGTTAAAAACTGGAAGAAGTTTCCATGTACCACCTGTCAATAGTAAATCAGTTATTTATTTAGAATGCTAAAAAAGATTACAACGTGATTTTAGTAACTTGTATGACCATATTATTTTTCAATCAGTTCTTTTCATAAAACAGATATTCAGATTGGTATTTATAAAAAAGTCAGTACTTAAATCATAATGTAAGTATCTTTTATTTCTCTTTATAAGTAAACTTAGAAGCCAACCCATACATGCTTGGCATCTTCTACATTCTCTTCCATACATATTCAATTCTCATCGTTCTCTCCTTCCCACAAGCTCACATTCTAGCAAAATTTCTGAGCCTGGAATTCGTATATGTATTTTCCTAACAGCTGTGCCTCTGTTCTTCATTTGATTCTAATTCTGAATTCTTCTTTCTTAAAAACCAATCTCTAATTTCTATGAAGCACAATTAACTTGCTGTTAGTGATGTTTACTTAACATGCTGACAATTTTCAAATTGACTTTTTCATAATTCATAATTTTTAGTTCTTCGGTTTGGTTCTGTAAATGGACTATTTCACAAATGCTTCACAACCATCTCATTAGTTATTTACTGAACTGTTTTTTTTTCCCCCTTTAGTTCCAGATGTCAAATTTTGAAATTGAAGAGAACTATCATTCCCAACCATCTGCTGATTCACCGGAAGCAGCAGGGTTGCAGCAACAAGCTCATACAGTGACATCAAATTCAGGTTCCAAACAGGTCAGCGGAAAGAGTGATACAATTGAACTTGATGATGAGCATTCTGTTTTAAGAAGGAAAGACATTGGTCCATGATGTTTTACTGGGAACATTTTAATTGAACCATATTGAGAAGCTAACACAATGAGAAGAATAAGTGTTAATTGTTTGGCCGAACAATTAAAGCCTATTCAACTGATCAACTGTTAATATGTTTTTAATGCTCAGGGATTGTTATAGAACTTCAAGAAAAACCAAAGTAGGAATATCGAGTTTGAGTTGCATGCCACCTAGTGTATGTGGACAGGAGTTGTAGCCCCTTCAGTCTAGCTTCACAATAATAAAGTTAACACTACTACTAGCACACTGCATGCCACGCTAAATTTAATACTGAGAGGGAGGTTGAAAATGAATGGATTACAATATAACTATAGTCTGGATTCACTATTCTCTTCTGAATTTTTCAGCAAAAAAAAAAAAAAAAAAAAAAATTAAATTTAGGGGTGGATTCACTATTCTCTTCTGAATTTTCAAAAAAAAAAAAAAAAAAAAAAAAAATTTACATTAGCGGTATACTATATTTTGTTCAACATTTTTGAAATCTTACAGTGTACTAACACCTGTTTTTGATGTTATCGAGGATGTATTTAAAAGTTAATCTCATATTTTTGGCAGCATGGAATTTAAGAATTCAATATTGAGAATAGAAAAAAATTCAATTCAAATTTAATCTATTCGGGACAACTACTGATTTTATGCTCCAAATCTAAGGTAATAAACATGCTCCTAGTCCTGGGGACTGATGTGATGGTATATAAAATATAGCTTTTTAGCTACAAATGGTGGTGTGTGTGATTATACTCTTGTTTTTCTTGTATGGCTCTCCCAATATGTAGTAGAAATAGATATTTGGCTGGTTAAAATTAGATTTCTTGTCTGATATTTGTGTGCTAAATCTTTGTTGTTATTATGCGTTTTCAGTCCTCCAGGGAAAAGGAAAAAGCACGTGATAAAGACCGTGACAGAGACAGGGACCGTGAGAAGGAGAAGGACAGAGACAGAGAAAGAGAAAGGGACAGGGACAGGGATAGGCATAGGGATAGAGAGAGGGAGAGGGATCGAGACAAGGATCATGATCGTCACCACAGAGATCGCCATAGGGATCGGAGTGAGAGGAGGGATAGAGAGAGGACCAAAGATAGGGATGATGATGATTACTACAGAAGCCGAGACTATGACAGGTGAGGAATCTTCTGTACACCTACGTTTAATTATTACACTGGTGGTCTCAGGCACATATTATGTGTTTACATTTATCATTCGTCTCAGATTGTGACTTCAAAGGGTGTGCTTTTAGCCCTCTAAAGTCTCAGGTAGGAAGTTACTCATACGCCGACCTTGGAACTTGCTGTTTCATGGAAAGCAATTTGTAGTAGTCCGTGTGAGCTAATGACCATTTGTCTTTGTACTTGCCTCCATTCTATATTATCGTTTCTCAAGTCATCTTGCTGAGTGCTGATCATTTTACTATTTGTTGAGGCAGTTATTCTCTAGGTATTAGTTTTCTTATTTTTGATTTCTTATAGTTGCAGGCACAGAGAACACGATAGAGATAGAGAGGAAAGGCACAAACACAGATCTAGATCTCGATCGAAAGCTAGATCTGAGCACAGATCAAGGTCACGATCTCGTTCTCGCTCGAAAAGGTAACCCGTGACAGTAACTTTCTGTTTTACTGTAAAACTGTAAGCCCATGCTCAGGCGCCCTTACCATGGAAGTCGTTCCATTTATTTAAGTAAACATCACAAACTGGTTCGTGTATCCATCAAACTAGTTCTTTTATTGCCTTAAACTGTATATTGATGCTTTTCTGATGAATAACATCTTGGAAAAGATGGTTACTGCTTTATCTTTTCACAGCCTGATTGTTGAGATTGTTATTAAGGCTGCGTCTGGGAGCCATTTTGGCCAACTTTTATTAAATATTTGGACCGTTTAAAAGGTCAGTGAGGTTCAATTGTGCAGAAAATGCTGACTGCACACCTAGCAAAATACTGAAGTTGCCATTATTTAATCAAAGACTGGTTTTCAAAATACTGGAATTGCCATTATTTAATCAAAGACTGTTTTATGTGGAGGGGCAAATTGGTAATTTCACTGAATTAAGTCAAACATAACCCATTGATACACACACAATTGTATAACGGTTATAATTCGGCTAAAAATCTGGAACAGAAAGCCGAAAGGAGATAAATTTGAAAATCACATCTAACGGACCGTGTTAGGAAGTAAACATCTCTATTAAATTGAAAGCAATGGAAATTTCTATTATTGTCTGATTTTTCTGACTGGATATCCAGCTCATTGCTCTTCTATTTTTCTGTTTACCACCTGCAAATATAAACAAGATATGGTGGTTTGATGTATAATATCACTCCATAATTAGTATTGTGCTTTTTATAATTCATCGTTCTTATTGTCTGAATGGTTTTGGCAATTTGACCTTTCCTTGGTATTAATTAAGCTACTTCAACAGCAAAAGGATTAGTGGTTTTGACATGGCACCTCCTGCTGCAATGCTTCCCAATGTTGCTGCTACTGCTGCTACAGGTACAGCCCAATAATTATTTTACAGTTCAATTATTATAATGACTATTTTTTTTTTCTTTTGACATAGTGCAAAGTTCGTATCAAAATACATTGGTTTCATTTTGGTAAGCGAACTCGATTCTTCAGTGCACATGCCACAATATAGAGTTCTGGTCCCTAGTTGGTGGTTCTGTTTTTCTATTAATTATTTTCTTTGTGAAATAATTCTGAAACTGAGAGGATTTTTGGTTTCTTGTTGTGTTTGGTGTTTCTTTGTTTGTTTTGTATGTCATATGTTATGTTCTAAGAAGGCAATGTTGGGCTACTAGCCCCACTGTGATGACAATGGGCGTGAGCCGACTTCTGTAGCTTTTATGTTCAAGGAAGAATCAATACAGGTCTTGTCCATCTTCAACCAGGATTTGCATGTTTGGTAGTTTTTACAAGCATTTTTCTCCAGTAGTTGAATATGCAGCCGTTTCCATTCTAGTTCGTTTTCATTGCAAGATGATAGGATTTTCCTAAAATATAAGCGGAGGAATCTTTTATTAAATAAAACTTTAAATCTAGTTTGTATCTTTCAATATCAAGATGAGGCACCTACGATATGTCGTGAAATGTAACTTGGTTTAACTTTCACAGGTCAGATGCCTGGAATCACCCCACCAATTCCTGGAATGTTCCCCAACATGTTCCCTATGGCATCTGGACAGGTTTCTCTATTTCTATACTTTTTATTGACACTAACTTTTATTGATTGAGCTTCTAGAAATGAATATTGTGTTTTTTTTGCAGTTCGGAGCTCTTCCTGTTATGCCTGTGCAGGCAATGACGCAGCAGGTTGTTTTTTCTATTGATTTAATATAGTTGTTGCATATAAATTACCTTCTGTTAATGGAATAGTCCTTTACTTTAAATGTTGCATTTTTCAGGCTACTAGGCATGCCCGGCGAGTCTATGTTGGTGGACTTCCCCCCACTGCTAATGAACAGGTAGTAATGCTCCATCTTATTAAATTTTGTTGTCCCATTTAATTGGATATAACTTACAGGTGAGGATGGTGTCATACATGATATATTTAGCATTAACACAATTTATTATTAACATCTAAGTGCTTAATCATAAATAACTTTTGCATTTTTAGCACTTCAGACTTTTTTCAAATGTATTTTGTATTTTCTTTAAAAAGAAGGCTGCTTTTCTTGTATTCTGCTACTATGCAATTGAGTTGACCATTATGTAGATCCATGAGTTCTGAAAGCCATTTTAACAGCAGAATTTGCAACTCTTGTTTAGTTTCATTTTGCATGTCAGTGACCTTGTTTCATGCTCTGCTATCCCATCTTACTCGTAATTTTATTTTTTCTGTTGGCTATCTTTGCTTCTGTGGCAGTCTGTGGCTACCTATTTTAGTCATGTTATGTCCGCCATCGGAGGAAACACTGCTGGTCCTGGTTAGTCAACATGCAATTATAAATTCTTGGTATTTATCATTTTGAAGAGATGTAGAATCTATCCGATGTGATTTCAGGAGATGCTGTAGTGAATGTTTATATTAACCACGAAAAGAAATTTGCTTTTGTGGAAATGAGATCTGTGGAAGAGGCCAGTAATGCAATGGCCTTGGATGGCATTATTTTTGAGGTATATATCTATCCTTTTGTAAAATTCACGAAGATTGCTGAAGTCTTTATTTTACTGCATTTGATAAAATGTAGAAGTTAATTGCTCCTTCAATTTCTCTTCAGTGCGTATAATTTTATGATGTACCCTGTACTTCATAAGCATCATTTAGCTTTACGTAATGACACGTCCTTTGAAGTTTTAGGCTTTGTGTCATTTTTAACCTTGTCGTTGATATCTCTTTATTACATCAATCAAACTTATACTCACTGTTTTAATTACTTTCTTGTCCAGGGTGCACCAGTTAAGGTCAGAAGACCCAGTGATTACAACCCATCGCTGGCTGCTACTCTTGGCCCTAGCCAGCCTAATCCCAATCTGAACCTTGCAGCTGTTGGGTTGACACCTGGGTCTGCTGGTGGACTCGAGGGTCCAGACCGTATTTTTGTGGGTGGTTTGCCATATTATTTCACAGAAGCACAGATCAGGGAGCTGCTGGAATCCTTTGGACCCCTTCGAGGCTTTGATCTAGTGAAAGACAGAGAAACTGGAAACTCTAAAGGATATGCATTTTGTGTTTACCAGGATTTGTCTGTTACAGATATTGCATGTGCAGCTCTTAATGGGATAAAAATGGGTGATAAAACACTTACAGTTAGGCGTGCTAACCAAGGTACAACACAACCTAAACCTGAGCAAGAGAGCGTGTTATTGCACGCTCAGCAACAAATTGCACTGCAGGTAAGGAAACCCCATTTTTCCCTGATATGTTTTAAGCCTCATAATGTGCTACCATCTTTAAGATCCATAAATATAAAGATTTGAGGGATTCTTCACTAAACACCACATTATATTATCTTCACGGGTAAGTTTTAATGAGTCGTGAAATTTCTGATAAGATGCCTATTTGTTCCCCTGAAGTTCTTTGACAGAAACATTGTCTTGTGGAGTGAAACCTCCACTGAACTGCTAGTCAATCTCGTTGTTTGTTTGTACAGCTAAATTACTTCACTCCACTGAAATGCCGGTATATTTCATTGTTTGTTTGAACAGCTATATAACCTTTGAACTTTAGCATAAAGAAATGACCTGGAAGAATGGAAGTAAAGTAAGTTGCAGCCAGTCCTCAATCTGATGAGGACATCATCTATTTTTATTTCTAGTTCAACCTTATTTTGTTTTGTGGACCTTATTTATGTAATTTGGCTTATATTATTATCCCAAGCCCACTTTAGTTAGGGTTTTCGTTTTTTACTATTTAAACCTACGGCTAAATTTCTCTCTTCCCAGTTCTTCTTCTAACGTTTTCTTCTTCTGCCATCCCTTCCTCTAATTTCTTCTTCCTACTGATTGGTTTTCTCATTCTCCATTGGTTATTTCTATTGGTGCTGCATCACAATCTCTAATGATTTCGGCATGCCCCAAGTCAGCAAATTATCTAATTAAAGGTTTTTGGGGTTTTGCTGCGCTGACAATCAGACAACTCTGGCTTAATATTCGTAGAAACAGGAGTTTATAACGAGCAAGAAGTTGTATGCGAGTACATTATGCCATTTAAGTGGATCAAATATATCTGTTTGCAGTACCTAATGGCTTGGATTTACTTATTGCTGATATATTATTCTTAGCCCTTGTTTGGCCCCTATTAAATTCTATTCCATTTTTCTCTCCTATTTTCAACCACACAATCTTCCATAAAATAATATTGCACGTAAATCGAAAACTTTTCCTTCTTTTTCAACCACTCATATTTCAAAAAAATACCATTCCGCTAATTTTCATTTCTAAAAAATGGGGCCCAAACAGGGGCTTAATTTTGTTTTCTGACGGATTTCGTTTCTCGCCTGGAATTATTATATTTATTTCAGTTGGAAACTATTGGCCCTTGAATATATCGGTTTTTCTCTATTTCTTTTGCAGAGATTCATGTTGCAACCTGGAGCACTAGCAACGAAGGTTTTGTGCCTAACACAAGTTGTGACAGAAGACGAGCTCAAGGATGACGAGGACTATGAAGATATACTGGAAGACATGAGAACTGAATGTGGAAAATTTGGTAAATGCTTCAACTTACCTCTTGAACTTCACGACTTGCGAATTTTCACATTCTGCATTGTTGATCTTCCTATTAATATTTTTTGCTAATTGTCCTAACATATAGAAAGCCTCCTTCATAGGACCACAGCCCCTTTCATTTCATCCTAATGGGTACTTCAAGGAATCCTACTAATTTGTATCTTGGTATTATTTTTTGCAGGTACTTTGGTGAATATTGTCATCCCGCGCCCAAATCCTAATGGTGAACCGACACCAGGTGTTGGAAAGGTTGGTTTAAGTGTTTGTACTGGAGTGATTTCAATGTGAGATTTTGTATAATTCGTCAAAATTGAAAATTAGTTTTTATTTTTGATACCACGGTGAGTTACTTTTAACTCTACCCTTTTTTCTTTTTACTCAACACAAGAAAAAACTACATATTCACAATATGTTTCGTAACAGAAGTGACTCTTTATTCTTTCCTCAGGTTAGCCAAACATGCTCTACGAGTATATTTAGCTAAATAAATAATGTATTTTATTGGTAAAGGTTAAATAAATACTTGTTTTGACTCTAGTAACTTTTCTTATTTGAAAGCATGAAAAACTAACTGTTCAAACATAAGTTTTACTACTTTTAAGCTGAGCCAAACATGCTTGTACCAAGTCGCTCTTTGGGGTTTGACCATGGTCAAGCCTGTATTAATCTTCTTTCATGTAGGTCTTCTTGGAGTATGGAGACATTGAAAGTGCTACAAAAGCTCGACAAGGACTTAACGGTAGAAAGTTCGGTGGAAATCAAGTCGAGGCAGTGTTTTATCCCGAGAATAAGTTTTCTGAGGGAGTTTATGATGGCTAATCGTTTGGCGCTGTACCGTACGTTAAACAGGTGTTATTAAAGCTCAAATGAGGTCTGGATGTTTGATGTTAAGTCTACAGGACTTGCACTGTTTTTATTTTTCTATGGACATAGCTTGTAGTTTCCGTCGGGTTGGGTGTTTTAAAGTGTCGATCAAAGCAAATAAAGTATCATTCCTGCTGGGCTTGAGCATGGTGTTTTACTTTAACAAACAGTAAAAGAATCTCTCATATGCGTACAATAGCATTCTTAGTGTATGTTTGACTGAACGGGATAGAGCAATGTAAAATAGATCTCTTAATGCATGTTTGGTATTTTGTATTAGCCTGTACCAAATAGGTGAGATGTTAGGGCATGTTTGATAGCCCTTTATTTTTTAGGGAAAATGGAAAAAGAATTTCAATTTCTACTTTTGGCCTGTTTGATTGATTCCACCTTTGGCCGTTACGTCAGCATTTTCCATCTTTTTCTTGAATTTGAATTCTCGTCATATTGGTGAGCTCACCATATTGGTGAGAATTCGTTTTTCGAGCACTGTAGCGATTTTATTTTATTTTTTTCGAATTTTTTTTATTAAAACAAATTTTAAGAATTGTTATAAAAAATATTTCTCTTTAATCAGAATTTTTCATGTAAAACAAAGTTAAATGAACACTAAAAGATAGATGATTTTTTTGAATTTTTTTTCTGTCAATGGAAACAAATTTCATCCCCGATATAATTAAAATTCATTATTTTAATTGACAATTTTCATGTAAAACAAAGTTAAATGAGCATAAAAAAATACTTTTATTTCAACATTTTTCACGTGGAAAATTTAACAAATCAAACACCATAATTTACAATTCTAGGGGAAACAATTTTGAGACAATTCAATTATTTGGAATTTGTTTTAAATTCAATTCAAACACTTAGATTTATTATTATTATTATTATTATTATTATTATTATTATTATTAATCTTTTTTTTTTTTGTGTGATTCGTTTAACATCATTCCATCTTACCTTTTTACTCTAGATCCCTCATTTGACTCATCTCGGACTTAAAAGATCGATTTTGCATATCTTCAATAAACAAACTTAGCCCAATGATAAAAATTTAAATCTAACAATCAAGTCAATTTTCAATCACGTATTAACATTTACCAAATTCTATCCAAAATTTTATTTTGTAGCAAAATCAATCGAGGACTTAATATCACATAGGGGGACTGAATTGGAAAATTCAATTTTTGGGAGTGGACCAACCAATCTTCTGCATTGCTCCCACCTCACTCCCCATTTTTAATAAATAATAAATAAGTCTCGCTCTCTAAGAGAGTTCCTCTTTGATAAAGAAGTTGGTCAAGATTACCTTTTTATTTTTCTATTGCAAACCTCAACCACATTGATGTGTAAATTCTTGCGGAGAAAAATTTCCACTCGAATTAGTTGTTGGAATTTTAGTTTAACAGAAAAAGTTTTAGGGTATTCGTATAGTTTCAGATAAAAGTGAGAGAGATTAATCCTTGTTTGAAATTGATTATTTCAAAATTAGTTTTCCCCTACTCTTTTCTTCAATCACATTCTAAAAAAATATCTTTCATATTTTTCATAACTTTTCTCTACTTTTCAACTACACATTTCTCCCCAAACAAAAATAAAATAATAATATAAATGAATTACTTTTACAGAAGCACTAAAAATTAAATTTTGGTAAAAAGTAAGAGAAATAAATTAAAAATAAAACTTGAATTTCACGGACACGTGTAGTCATTTGAATTGATTCAAATGACTAATCGTCATCAATTTAATGAATAGTTCTATCACGCATGCATATATAATCATCGTACAGTTGTAGTTTTTTTTAGGTGAAATGGATTTTTCTTGAAGGTGAGAAATGTATGCAGTATGTATTGCTATTATTGTTATTTATTTCTTTATTAAAGTTAGTTTTGTCTCTTTCCTGTTCATAACTTCTGAATTTAGTGATTTACCCTTTATATACTGTCATGTATATTTTTGTCAAATTTGTTTAACATAATATCATAGCAATTTGTGATGAACTAATTAGTATCAGCTTCTATTATTTGGTTGTATCGCTCATTCATCTAATATTTTTTTTCTTTTTGTGTATATTGTGGTATTTATTTCATTCCTCTTCTTTTGACTCGTCCTTCGATTTGATTGTCTTGTTTTGCTATTGATTCCCCAAGGTTGAGGGAATTGAAATATTGACCACAAAAGTCAGAAAATCATGTTCGATACTGTAACGCATTGAAAGATGTTGCTTGGAGATTATTTGAGGGAGAAGAATACAATCACCATTATAGACATGTCGTCCAAAACGGTGGTTCATAAAAATATTCCACAACTTTTCGTTTTTATTATTCTCTTCTATTTCGAATAAGCTCTTCCTGTTAGCATTCTAGAACACGTACACAATATGTAAAGTGCTGAGCTTACAAATAATTCCACTGTAATTTTAGACAAAAAAATAAAAAATAAAAAATCTTTCCTCCTGTCGACTCTCAAGGTTGAGAATCAGACAAATTATGTACTATTTATTATATATTTTACATCTAGATACTTTGTGGAAGGTCTTTTCTTAAAAAAAAGGTTGAACCCCAACCTTGAGATCCCCCACCGTCCCGTCCCTAGAGTTTTGTGAGGGAGGTAAATCACGGGATGTGCCCCAACATGTCAGGGAACAAGAGCTGCCTGTACACTGCGCCTACAAAGAGTCCAATTCCATGTTTCAGGAATCGAACTTCCATACTACGGCTGCCAGCAAGGCGTGAGATAACCTCACTCCTATTTTTTGCACCACTGAACTAAGTCCCGGGAGGCTAAGGTCTATTCTTTTGAAGTCAATAGGTGGTGGTGCAATATTTTTAGTCAAAAAAGCCTTTTTAAAATTTGACGACCATGTCAATTTTGTACTCCATTAAAATAAGGTCATTGGTGGAGTTGTTGGAAGTTACTATCTCATTACACATTTCTTATAGAACCCCAACTTGGTGAAATCTTTAGACGTTTCCTATGGAACCACAACTTGGAGAACACGCTATAGATAATTTCCGTTTCATTTTTTCAGTTTTTTCTTCTCTTTATTTTATTTTATTTGGCATGCACAATCTCTAGGACAAAATATCGTTTGCTATATATTTAGAAGGCTGGAGGTAATTTATACTAAATATGTTGAGGATGTATTTATTACCGTTTGTGAAGTGTATAACTTTTTTTATGAACTAGTTAGAGTTGAATGTACATTGTACGTTATTTTGAAATATTTTCTAAGTACTGTAAAAGTAATATTTGATATAAATTTGTTAGGAGGATTTGATGAATCTCAAACGAACCTTAAAAAAAATAAAATTTAAGAGAAGAAAATTGTACTATCAAAACTCAACTTTTATGAATTCAATTTTTTATTTATTTTTGGCTCAAGTGTTCGAGTTTTGCTTGACTAATTTTGAGGAGTAATGACTTTCCCCACGATTCGTCATCTGGATAAATCCAAATGTCGTCACAACTTATATACTCCTAGATTGAACGATGCTGTTTTCCTCCCCGTCGACCTCCTTTTACGACGAATGGACAAAACTTCTGGAGGGACGACAATATAATTCATTTTTTGTGATGATGAAATATTACAAATGAGCAACTTTTTCATACTACATTTGGTACATAAAGATTAATTCCTAATGCATGAATTTAAACACATTAAATTTTTAGATACGTGAATAGAAATAAATTTATCTATAATAACTCTAGATTCATGTAAATCAAGATTCATCAAATCAAAAATTAATACATTAATTGAAAATTAATAACATGAAATCCATACATGACAATGATTTTGTAGTATTTATTACATATTGAAAAACAAGAAAAGTAAGGTATCATTGGAATTATCAAATTTTAGTAGGATTAGAATCGTTTAAAAATAATTCTCAACACCCATTATTTGAAAATTAAAGAATTTTGAATAGTATTTTTTGGAGAATGTGTGATTAAAAAGTAAATTTTTTTTATTGATTTGTGTATAAAATATTTTATTGTTTGAATGTGCGATGAAAAGTAATATTGTAGCAAACAATTTATACTTTTAAAGGTTGTAATATATTATAAATTTCATTTTTTAAATAAAATATGAAGGCTTGAACAGGGCCAGACAGAGCCAATGGGTCGACCAAAGGATCAACGAAGCAGTCCAAGCTTGAATAATTGCGCGGCTCAACCCTTTGGGCCTTTGCTAACCTTGCATTGTGAAAGTTGTAAAATGAAAAATGAAAAATGAAAAATTTATTATGAAATTGGAAAATCATTCCTCACAAGTTACATCTAATTTGCCACAAATTTCAAGGTTATCAACTACATATTTAACCATCATTCGAGCCGTTCCGTCAAGAAATAATTACTCAAACGAAACAGAAATAGAAATTATGATACAATTCAAATCATTGCAGTATCTATTTTCTGTGAAGTTTTTATGATTCTTCTATGGCATTGGCAGGTTTCCATGGAGTCATATCCATGGGATAACTCCCTAGAACTCTCAAGAAATACGTGAACTCTTGAACTTCAGCCATGGCGTTTTGCGCCCTCTCCTCCGCCATTGATGCCTCAAAATCTACATAGAACATGTACTCAAAGTGCTTGGCGCCGCCGTCCGCCACCTTGACTGGCAGATACCGGTGCGGCCTCGATTCTATTTTCATCAGATTGATATTGCGAAAAGCGAAGGAGGATAGAACCTTGAACAGAGTGTTCGTACCCTTTTCCTGTGCGAACGCGATGCTTGTTTTGAATGGCCGATCTGAGCGAGGAATTATGGGTTCTCGTGATAGGACTACGAATCTCGTGAAATTACTTGAATCGTCTTGGATTCCGTTAGCCAGGATCTGGAGGCCGTATAATTCAGCGGCGCGTGAAGAGGCGATTGCCGCTGTGTCACGGAGGTTGTTGGTGGCTATGTACTCCGCCGCTCCGGCGGTGTCTTCAAATGCTTCACGGGCGGCTTTGAGGCCTAATTTAGTGAGTGTATTTTCGCACTGGGAGAGCGCTTGTGGGTGGCTTATGATTCGAGTGAGGTGTTCGATTCGGACGCCAGGGAGTGCGACGAGGCAGTGGTGAACGGGGAGCTGAACCTCGCCGACTATGGGGAGACGGTGGCGAAGGAGGAGGTCGTAATTCCGGTGAATAGAGCCGCCGTGTGAATTCTCCACCGGAATCACGGCTCTATCGGCGATATAATGCTCCACCGCTTGGAAAGCGATTTCGAATTGGTCACATGGTATGGCTTCGCATTTGGGATACGCCTTTCCGGCGGCGGTTTCGCTGTAAGCACCCGGAACGCCCCGGTACGCAACCCGGAGCTGCGAGCCGTGCACCGGCGTCGCTGAGAAGTTGGCTAAGCTCAGCGGCTTGGGAAGAGCCAAGGAAGATTTAGCTCCAGCTCTAGCTCCATTTACAGGAACGAGTTCCAGAGTCTTGTCGTCATTCACGGAGGCAACTCCGGCAACTCCTGTGTAATGATTCTTACTATCCTGTTGCAGGGATGTAACTTTACTGGCCAGGATGGCGCAGCAGCTCTGCCATTCGTGAGGAGTTCCGCCAGCATTGGCTGAGTCGACGCATTTGACGGAGAGTCGACTGGGGCTGGACCGGTGGTGGACCAATCCACGACCCGGTGGCGCCGCTATCCGGACTATAGACTTGTCAATACTACCCCACGGAGGATTGAGGGATTGCATGATTTATACTTTCAGGGATCTAATTGAATTAAATATATAATTTACACAAGGACTAAAATGAAATGAATTTAAAGCTTGCAGTTTTCCTGTAAGCTGAGAGAGAAATGAATGAGAATCTGGGGGTTTTATATTGGAAAAGATTAGGATGCGTTATGAAGAAGGAACGACGCGTGCTTACATGGTCAATCTCACACCTAACTCTTCATTTTGTTTCAATTTTGCGTACATATACAAACACATAGAAAAATACAGTGTATCTTATAATAAACATTTTGGTAACGTGGATTATAATTTCTTGTACAATTTAATATAATCTAATATTGCTTACAAAATTAGTCTATAGTGGCTCATTCGATAAGGTGAATAATATACATGCAATAGTTATAAATGTTACAATGATGATTACTATTTACTCTGTTTAGACCTATCGGCGGTCCATGCGCGACGGAGGGAGGTGGCGGCAGACCTACATGTCCTAGGCCCACTTTTTTTCAGCTAAAATTTTGTTTTATTAATTTTTTTTAAATATCAGCTTAGTATAATTTTTTTAATCCTCCGACTCTACCCGTTTATTAAAAATGTTGGAATGGTCCAGTTTGGTATAATTCAATTCGGATCACAATGTAATGAGTAACTAGAATGTCCTAGAATTTTGAGGATAATTAGGTAGGTGGAGGACATTAGGGTCCGACACTTATAATATTTTCCATAATGCCATTCATTGACTCCTGCAAACTACATTAATTTTTTGTATTATTCAGACAATCTGTTTGGTAGGATTAATTTAGTAAATAATCAAATTATGCAAGTGGGATATTGGAAAAGATTATCCTTTTCAAATCCAAGACCTCTTTTCTACTTTTGGAAAATTATTATCCCTTCCATCCCATTTATATAAATTGATTTTATTTTTCATATGGATTAAGAAATCTTATTTTTATAATATTATTGAAAAAGCAATTTTTTTGCTAAAAACTTTTCTAATCTACCCTTATTTATATTTGTACAATTTCAATATTAAGTGGAAAAATTAGTTTTTACTAGTAGTATTATTTATAGATCATTCAAAAACTAATGATAAATCTCAATCCCTTTTGTTAAATTTTGAAAATAATGTAAACAATTCTCGCATCTCTCGCCTAGTAGCGATAAAAATATGGATTTAACAATGAAGATAAAGATGAGAAAACCTATCATCTTTATTGTAAGAAGCCAAACCCAATTCAAATACAATTGTCGTAAATTCGTAATAGACCTTGACGGTCTATAGAAAATACATCTTTACTTTAAGATGCAAGAGAACAATCTACACCCTTGCAAAATGCTATATAAGATTTATTAGTATTTGCATCAAATATTTCGTGGGAATAAAATGTTTCATTATCCATATTTAAATTAGCACTAAATTAATCATTTTTTTAATATAGATTTTGATTATTAAATTGGCAAAAGACCCTGGTAATAATAAGGAAAAATTGTATCAACGGTTCCTAACATTTTCATTTTTTACAAACTTTGCCCCGACCTTCATTTTGTACCAGCGGAGATTCCTCACTTTTCATAAATATACACTTGAGGTCCATCTAGACAAAACTCATCCAAAACACCATCAGTTGACCGAGAAAGTTAAAGAATCAACATTTAATAATCCAAAAAGGTATCAACATCCAATAAAACCATCGCGGTAGCAATAATTCAAGGAATTTTTTCCCGTCAACTGATAGTGTTTTGGACGATTTTCGTTTAAATGGATCTCAGGTGCATATTTATGAAAGGTTATGGATTTTCGCTGACACAAAATGAAGGTTAGAGTAAAGTCTACAAAAAAAGGTTAGGGATCCCTACTGCAATTTTTCCTAATAATTATATGCATAAACGAGTAGCAACGCACTACATGCAAATCTATCGTGAAATTATTAATTTAGCATAAAAGCATTTTTTTTATGATTTCCAATCTGAATATCAGTATTTATTGAAAGAATCAATGATTCCAACTACACGAGCAAATTGTTGATAAAACCTCAAAATGTAATTTGCTTTTGACCCTACTTGGTGAAAGGTATGAAATGAATTGGAAAAAAAAATAAAATCATAACAAAAAGAAATGGTTTGCCAAATATAATTCATTAGCTTAGTGGACAATTTGAGATATATATATATATGCTGAAGTTGTAATTTTTTTTGTTTGTTGATTTCCTTGTAACATAATTGTGCTTCCCATGAAATTTCCACGAAAATGAGTTATTAATGCATTTAAATGACATCTAAGAATGTCATATAATTACTGTCATATTTTTTAAAGTACGAAATAAAGCACTTAAGTCTTCTTTCATTTTTGGAGCTGATCTTCAATCCTCCAAGGGATGATTTTCGCTTGGGCTGACTCAAAGACTCTACCATGGCTTTTCATTGATTTCTCCTAATGGCCTTTTATCCTATCTCGCGATTTAAAATTTTTATTTCAATACAAGTTAAATAGTTAATCATCACTCGATAGAATCAACTAGTCCTTCGTGTGATGGGCACCTAAATACACTAAACTTAGAAGTTTTGGGATCAGTATGACTAGAAATTGAAAGAGACCTAAGTGCTATATTGTTTGAAGTTTCAAATTTTCATCAGCAATTTTCACTAAAATGTGTGAACATTACATATAGATTGTCCATGAATACAAATAATTTCATCGAACATTCAATGTACCTTACGAAAAATAGAGGAAATTTCATTGGGTGTCAAAATTTGGGTTTGCATTATCAAAAATGTCACATTTTAAAATTTCAATGACATTTTTGACCCTCCGAATTATTTGAATACCTTATATATTAATTTTTAAGCAGGGGCTTGGAAATTATGAATTTGCACAACAGGCCCCCATCTCCAACGCCAAATTTGCTGTTGAAAATCTGGATAATTTTTCCCCCCTTTTACAGTATGGTGGAGGCCACCATCGATGTCCAGCAGACGAGCGACCACCACTGCTGCAGCAATAGGCCGCTGCTCTTTGCGGCGGCTGCGAGTGCCGCTGCCTTTGTGGCAGACGTGGCGCTCACTCCTCGCCATCGACGGCCATTGTCGTCGCCGCCTTTACCTCTTTCGTTCTTTTCTTTGTTTTTTTTTTTGGCCCAAAATTTATAATCTTTTAAAATCAAAAACATATTTTTAAAATTTAAAATAAGGGTACGTTGGATATTTTCCACAAAAAAAATAATATTTTTAATAAAATTAGGTGCACATGCAAATTTTTTGTGCATTATCAAAGAAAGTGACATTTTTTATCATTTCCTGAAAAATATTACTTTCAAGTTTAGCCAAATGTCCTCGTGAATGAATTATTGATGGGTGAAAAACATCATTTTTTTAGTGGGACCAAATCAGTACACAAAGGATAAATATATACACATTTGAATGAACATGCTCAATAAATGTCCGAAGTTAGAGAAATAATAAATATATGGGAAAAAGTTCCAATATTAACAAAATGACATGGCACATGTTCGGAGGTGATTATGAGAATTAATTTTTTGACCGTTAGAAAGAAAAGTGGCCTCCATTTGTGAGTGAAAAAATAAAAAATGACGGCTGAAATAGTGAAATAATGATAAAAGTATTGATTTTTGAAGATGAAAAATTGCTAATGGGGGCATGACATTGTTATACAATTTTTGTATAATAATATAATCGACATTAGCTTGAAATAAGGAGATTAGTCAATATTATAAAAAATTTAAATTTAGAAAAATAAACTTCAAAAAGTTGACACATGGAAAATCTCGAATGAAATGGTTATCCGTTTACTCAATCAAAATTCTAGAAAATGTTTACTTCTAATCAATTCCATTTTTTTCCTCTAATTTTTTATTATAAATTTCTGTGTTATCGATATAAAAGTCTTTTGTGGACACAATGGTTGATTTACACGTAAAGTAAGTAGGTGAAATATTAATATTTCTGCCTAACATTATTAAATTCAACTTCATAAAATATAACCCTACCTATAAATCTAATACATTATATATTTTGATAACTTCGTCTTCGTATAATATTTAGACACGTGCAAAATTTGCTGATTGCATTATTACACCAAACACCATCGATTTTCCTTTTAGGATTTTCCAGTTTATGGCTGTTATTGTGGATAATTGTGAAAATTGAAATGAAATGTTCGACAGGCAGGACTAGGCCTTGGCCAAAAATATCAAAAAATCGATCAAACCAATTAAATTGAATCGACTCTCATCGGTTTGACACGAATGATTGGTTTGAAATCTCAAACCAGTGGCTAACCGAACCAACCCAACACAACCCACTTACATATTTACCATTAAAAAAAGTCAAAATCAAAAGATAACTCATAATCTGATAACTATATCTTGATTACTTCTAATCTATGATATTGCCAGTAACAGTAAGTAATAGTATTGAAAATTTCTTTTCACAAACTCATTATGTTATACACTTCATTTTTTTCCTACGTACTCATACAGTCAAGCTACATAATGCATAAAAAATAAAAATTTTAAAAAAAAATTCTTAAATTTTTTGTTGATCAGTCTCTATTGATTTGATTTTATTTGTTAGTCAATTGTTCTTGTAATATGAAGTTATTTAGTCATTTTACTTTTTGTAATCTAAATAAGCTCAAAACTCAGAATTTTTTTTTAGAAAAATTGAATTTGGACTAAAAGTCCAAATCGAACGAAACTGATTTGGTTTGATTCAGTTCGATTTAAGAGTTAGAATGGGTTAATTTGCGTTGAAATATATCTAAATCGACTAATTTAATTTCGTTTCAAGTTGGAGTCAAAATCGACCCAAATCAAATCATACCCATGCCTATGCAAGACTTAAAAAAGTTGGCGCACCTTATTTGATGTCGATTGATATTAGTAAAAATGCGAAAACTCGTTTCGAAATATTAAAGATATGTGTGATTTAATTTTTGGAAGTCAACTTTCATCCCTTTTAGTATAGACACCAACAAAAGACGTGCTTTAATTAAAAGTTTAAAAATTTACTAGTAGTTCTATAGCAACATTTTACGAATACCTTGTCCCGTGTGCCTAGGACACGTTGTGAGTACAATAATTGATAGTGTGATACACACGATTTTGATTTTAAAAAAATTACACATATTTTAACTATTTTGCTTTGACAAAAGCGTCGCGATTTTTGCAAGCATGAAACCGAAGGCCTCGAATATTTAAATGAACACCAAGTACAAAAATATTTATCACGTGAGTCT